ATATGAAGTACTCGAACGTATACTACCGCAGCAAATGCGACTTGACTAGTGTTGGAAATAACTAATTTTAAGAGCACTGCTGCTCAATACAAATGAAACTTCTACTTTGTACTATGTATTAAGCAAGCGAAACGCTTTAAAAAACTTAGTTTTTATTTGTATGTAAAGAATACTTCAATCGTACGTTAATGAATTTTCGATTTTAAAAGAAAAAACTAGTGAGGACACTTGATACACAAAACAGTGTTGCATTTTTGTGTAGCCACCCTCCTTCGAGACGATGTTGCCACATTCTCCCCTCCGGTATTGCGATCCATGGGAGAAAATACCTTCATCTAGGCAACAGTGTCGGTGCTATTTCGTCTGATGTCTAGCAGTGCTATCTTTGCAGCTGGACGGTGGTACTCGCCGACCGATGTGCGAACAGTAGCGCTTCTTACTTGGCCCTCTTTGGAGGTATATGCGTTGGTTACAATACCCTTTGGCCAGACGTGTCGAGGAAGATTAGGGTCTATGATGATTACCACGTCATCCTTTTCGATTGGTTGCGTATGGTCGAACCATTTTGACCTTCTGGTTAGAGTTGGAAGCACTTCGGCTACCCATCGTTTCCAAAACATGTCAGCTAGGTACTGTGAGTGGCGCCAGGAACCTTTAACATATTTGTCTGTTGAGCAGAATTTGCTTGGTGGTTTGCTGCCAGAGGAGCTACCCACTAAAAAATGATTGGGCGTTAAAGCTTCTTGGTCGGCTGCGTCCAACTATAAGTAAGTAAGCGGACGACCGTTGACAATACTTTCCACTTCTAAAAGCAGATTATGTAGTTTCTCGTCTGTTAGCTTGGTGTCCGGAGTAACGATGTGGTACATTACGTTCTTTACTGAGCGTATCAATCGCTTCCAGGCGCCGCCCATGTGAGGATTTGCTGGTGGAATAAAAGTCCATTTGCATTCCGCGGTTGTTAGTTTCTCCTGTAGAGCATCGAAATCCAATTCTTCGTAGGCTTTACGTAACTCCTTCTCAGCTGCAACCAGGTTAGTACCATTGTCGCTGAATATTTCTATGGGTTGACCTCTTCTGGAAATGAAATTTCGTATCGCCATTACACAGGAGTTCATGCTGAGTGAGTGTGCCACTTCGATGTGGATGGCGCGGCAGGTCATACAGGTAAATAACACGCCGTATCTTTTTTCTGTACGCCTTCCAATTGTCACGAAGAACGGGCCGAAGAAATCAATACCCACGTAAGAAAATGGTCTCGTATATGGCGCCAAGCGTCCTTTAGGTAGTGGTCCCATTTCAGGCGGATGCGGGTTTGCGTTGCGCAACTTGCAGGACATACAGTTTAGGCGTACAGATCGCAGAGTTCGACGTAAGCTCGGGATGTAAAATCGCTGAAATATTTCATTGAGGACCGTGTCATGGTGGACATGCTGATATTTTCGGTGGTACCAATCAATTATTTTTGGCAAAATGACTGGGTTTTTTTGCCGAATCTTCTATGGGAGCCCTTTCCAAGCGGCTGCGCATACGAACTATTTCGTCATCGTCGAGAAATGGTGATAGCTTTCTTAGCGAACTAGACTTCGGCAATGTGCATCTAGGGTCTTTTTTCAGATTAATGATATCGTGGTGGTACGCATCGGCTTGAGCAAGGCGGTAGAGGAAACGGCGGCTCCAGAGAAGCTCGTCGCCGGTCAGGTTGGCTGGCTTGGACGACGGATTAACTTGTAGACGCCGTTTACTCCTGCAGTTTTCGATAAAACGTCTTACGTAGGCTACACATCTCTCCAAATGTTCCCATTTGGAAAATTTGTTAACATCAATGATAGGCTTAACGTTGAATTGAACGGCACATTGTAACCATAGATTCTCTTCTTCCTTCGCAGAATTAATCTTGCACGTAACAGACTCATACTTTGGCCACCTTTCCTGTGGCAGCCGTAAAAAATCCGGGCCGGTAAACCATGCATTAGGTGGAGCAAATTCATTTGTATTTTTCCATTTGGTTGCTGCATCCGCTGCGTTTTGTTTGGTGGTCACGAAATGCCATTTTGATATGTCTCTATTTTCTTGTATTTCAGCTACCCTGAACATTACGAATTGTTTGTATTTACGTGGATCGGAACGCAGCCAAGTCAGTATTGTTTTTGAATCTGTGTAAAAATGTGTATCGTGAATTTCGAAGTCATGCCCTTGAACAATCGCATTTGCTAGGCGTGATCCTAGAACCGCTGCGGTCAATTCCATTCGCGGTATTGATATTGGGCGCAAAGGCGCAACCTTAGTCTTCGAGCTGACTAGAGCCACATGAATTCCGTGATCGTTCAAAATCCTGAAATAGGCCACAGCTGCGCTTGCAGACTCGCTTGCGTCCACGAAAACATGTAGCTCGACTTTACAATCATCGTTTTTAAAGTTGCCAAAGTAACATCTCGGAATTTTCACCTCGCAGACATGCTTAAATATTGAGAGCCATTGTTTCCATCTGCATGCAAATTCTTCAGGAATTGTGTCATCCCAATTAATACCACTTCTCCGTATGTCTTGCAACAATGTTCTTATGCAAATCGTATAAAACGACAGAAATCCTTGTGGGTCATATATTGACATCAGCAGTCGGAGTAGTTCCCCCTTAGTCGGTAGTCTTTCGGCTCTTAAGATTTCGTTGCTTGCCTTGGTAAACTTCGTGTTAAATGTGAACACGTCGTTGCTCGTTTGCCACCACAACCCGAGCACCTTTTCTGGTTCTACCACTTGGTCGATTGTTTTCCCGGCTTTACAGAAATCGTTCATAGGTTCAGTCTCGCCGAGAGCGTAAACTACCTTGGCGCAGTTTGAGACCCAACCTCTGATGTGAAAGTTACCGCGATTATGCACCTCCTTTACATCTCTGGCCAGCTGGATGGCTTCTTGTGGACTATCAGCGCTGTCCAACATGTCATCCACGTAATGCCGTTCAATTATTGACTTGGCAGCCCTTGGAAACTCCTGTAAAGATTCTTCCGCGTTTTTAACTCTGACGTACTGTGCGATTGATGGTGAGCAGCTGGCTCCGAATGACATAACCTTCAGGACGTAGACATCTGGCGCTCGAGAGTCATCGCAATCACGCCAAAGGAATCTTTGTGCATGCTGATCCTCCTCGTCTATACTGACTCTGTGAAACATTTCACAGATATCCGCACAGATGCCGATCTTACCGATGCGAAAATTGTAAAGGATATTCGTGAGCGGTCTTAATAAATCAGGTCCTTTCTCCAGGCATCCGTTTAGAGAAAATCCTTTGTAGACAGCAGCAGCATCCCAAACCAATCTTGTCTTTTTTGGCTTGTTGGGGTTTCTAACCGAAAATATAGGTAAATACCATTTACGCTTATAATCCATATGGACTTCACATTCATTCAGCTTGCGAATGTACTGCTTTTCCTTCATGCCATGTATGTGCGCGATTACCTTCTCTTTAAAGTCAGAATCCTGGTTGAGCTTCTTCTCAAAGCACTACAGTCGACGCTTCGCCACCTCGTAATTGTCTGGCAGTGATATATTACTTGAACGCCAGAGTAGCTTAGTCGTAAAATGGTCGCCGGTGCGTTCGACGTATTTGGCAAGTCGATTTTTATCATGTTCATATTTTAAATCGCATGGTTGGCTTTGTATATCTGCGCTTTCATGTTTCATGCTTTCAATTAGAAGCTTCTGGATAGCTAAGTCATCGTCGCATTCACATATGTGTAATTGCAAATCATCGCGTAGGTTCTGTTCGTTATATTTTAAAACACCGTAGATTGTCCATCCCAGACGTGTTTTCGTTGCGGCTGGCTCATCGATCTTGCCCTCCCTGAACTTCATGGGCATTGCTACGTGCTTGTTACTTAAGCCAATTATCATTTGGGGTACCACATCTTTGTATGACTGTACTGGCAGCCCCCTGAGATGTTTATATTTTTGCGAGAGTTCTGGCATTACCAAAGTTTGCGGAGGCAAGTCAAGCTTGTTGACTGTGCGTACGTCGCGCAACGTATACATCTTATTTTTTGCTTGAGCTGACACTTGCAAATTGATTAGCGCGGAGTTTTCCTCAACACGAACAGAACCATCAGTCCAACGCAACCAAAGCTCGGATTCTTCACCCTTCAGTTGCAACTTCTTGATTATATCATGTTCTATGATTGTAGGGCCTGATCCATCGTCCAAAAGTGCATAACTGTCCACAGTAGCATTCCGCGAGTGAATTGTAATAGGCAAAATACGATACAAAACATTCGAATATTTTTGTACATGTATCCCCACAATGTTTTGTGGAGTGCTATCGTTGCTTGACATCGGCTTGTGCAACAGAGTATGATGTTTTGCTACACAATTACACAATTACCGCATTCTCGACGTTCGTTACAAAACTTGGGATCGTGTGGCTTAAGGCACGACCGGCATAGCTTCATGCGGTTAACCATATTCCATTTGTAATTGTATGACATTACCTTGAATTTATTTCAATTTGCGATAAAATGGTTTTCAGTACACACCGAGCATCTGCGCGAATCTCGCTGACGCCGCTCATTTTCCGCTTCACGATTTTCCTGATGGAAGCCAACACGATGTGCTTTACGCCTTTCTTCTTGTTGGCCGCCACCTACGGGTATTGTTATAACGGTGCTGGCAGCATTTGCCCGTACAGACAACCATTCGCTGAAAACTAATAAATTTATATTAACATAACCATTTGAATGCATTGCCCAGTCTAAACGCATTTGAGCTGGAAGCTTTTGAATTAAGTCTCTTAAAAGCATAGGATTATTCAAATGTGACGTAAGTCCGGCCGCAGCGATTGTCGCTGTCAAATTTTTCACTTCAAGTGAAAATGGTATAAGCGTTTCAAGTTTGTTGGCGTTTACATCTGAGGAAGAGCGAACTTTTTCTAAAAGACTATTTACTATATGTTCAGGCCTACCAAAAATTTTACGCAGCGTTAAAATAACATCAGGTACTAGTGCTGGAATCAACAGTTGACTTCGTACATAGTCGAGTGCTTTTCCTTTTAAAGCGCGCTGTAATCGAAGTAGATTTTCATCATTAGTAAAGCCACATATACGAGTTGAATTTTCATAGCTACTAATAAACATCGGTCACTCTTCGGGTTTGCCTCTGAAGTGTGGCAACTCTTTTGGCAGAGCTTGTCTTGCTTGAATTTGCACAGTTGTCAAGTTATAATTTGACTGACGTTCTCCGGTACCATAACCGCCGCACATGGAGCCGCCATAACCGCCACCCATGGAGCCGCCATAACCGCCACCGTCGTGATCTTGCCTTAAGAAGTCATTATTCAAACTATGATTCGCGCCGATGTAGGCACCTGCGTTTAGTTGCCCCTGCATGCCCCTTGCAGTATATGTGTACTGATCATTTGTGTTCAACTGTCTTGGAAGGGGTCCTGTGCCCGCAATTCGCTCTATTGGATTGCCTCGCCATGAAATGTGCTTCATGCCCGTAGTCAGCACCTGTGTGCTCGTGCTTGGCAAAAAGAAATTGCTTTGCGCTCTTAACCCTATGTACTGCGCGTTTGTGTCACCCTGTGTGCCCGTGGTTAGCGCATTGAATCTATCATCTACGCTCGTGGTTGGCAACGTGGTGACCTTGGTTGCTTGTACTCCCGAATTATTTTGGCGACTTTGCAAAATATCATTTTCTTTACGTAGCTGGAGTACTTGCTTTTGCAACTCCCTTACCTCGCTTTGCAAAACAGATTCCGTGTCCTTGTGATTTGAACCATCGTATTTACCTGCATTTCCTGCTGCCTTCATACTTGCGTTCGTAGCACCAATAGCTTCACCTTCCTCTTGCGCATTGACCACTGTTTTGTTTGTTGCACACTCACTGCACACCCAGTCGATGGATTCGATACCAGAAGAAACATTGGCGCATACAAAGTGGAACCAATTGTCGCAGCTATCGCATTGCACCATATCACCCTCCTCGGGCTTTTTGCATATGGGGCAGTCTACCTTCTCATCGGAAGCCCCGCTCATGTTGCACGATTCAGCGATCGTCTTTTCCCACGAAAAGCTGCAAGCTGCTTTCAAGACTTGCAGCAGATAAGTTTTTTAAAGAATGGGAAACTTTTATTTTGTACTATGTATTAAGCAAGCGAAACGCTTTAAAAAACTTAGTTTTTATTTGTATGTAAAGATTCACTTCAATCGTACGTTAATGAATTTTCGATTTTAAAAGAAAAAACTAGTGATGACACTTGATACACAAAACAGTGTTGCATTTTTGTGTAGCCACCCTCCTTCAAGACGATTTTGCCACAACTAGCGTCCACGCTTCTTGAATGAGAACTTTAGTAGTAATTAAAAATGCTGCTAACATACCAAATGGATCGAACACCGACATCACGATTCGTAACAACTCTCGTTTTGTCGGAGCTCGTATTCCGTGCAGGACATCTTTCGGCAAACGGTGGAGCTTCGTGTGGAATTCGAAAACGTCATCGCTTGTATTCCAGTAGAGGCCAAGCACTTTGTCCACTGACCCGTTGTGTTCCAGGCTAACCACTTCTCTCACGGATAACGACGAATGATTCAAACGATCTTGTTGGCTTGTTCAGGCGTGTCGAAGCTTGCAACTAAATCATCGACATAATGCTTGTTAATTATAGTCGTTGCGGCATCTGGAAACTGTGCTCGATACTCCTCGGCGGTTTTGTTTTTTATATATTCGGCGAAGCAGGGTGAGCAAACAGCACCGAAAATTAACGACGTCATCACATACTCTGCCACAGGCTTGCTCGCATCACCATCACGCCACAAGTACCGCTGAGCGTGCTGATCAGTTGCGCGTATCTTGATTGGCGAAAACATTTCGCGTATGTCTGCGGACACTCCGACACGTCCCTGGCGAAACTGTAGCAAAATCCGTATCAACGGTTGTGCTTGCTCCGGACCCTTCAATAGTTGCGAGTTGAGCGATACGTTGTTTACTGCGGCTGCGGCATCAAAGACGATTCGCGTCTTTTCGGGCTTATGCTGGTTGAATACGGAAAATTGAGGTAAGTACCAAGCATTTTCGTGTGGCTCTCTGGCTTCTTCACGGCTTAACTTTCTTGCATACCCTTTGATCACGTACTTAGCCATCTCTTGTTTGTATCGTGTACCAAACTCGGCATCGTTCTTCATTTGGCGCTCCACTGTCAGTAAGCGTTTTTCGGCCATTGCTTTACTGTTTCGCAACTTCGGTGAATATGTCCTCCATAGTAGACCGGTTTCATATTGCTTGCCTACTCGTTTAGTTGTTCGGCGCAATATCTCACGTGCTCGCTGGTCTTCATCTGACTCCAATGAAACTGCTGGCGGGTTGACTCTAAAGCTGTCTGCTGCGAAGTACTCTTGTACTAAGTCGTTTAGTTGCTGATATTCTTTCACCAACAAAACACGGGGATTCAATGTTGTAGGTAGCTTGGTTGGGCCGTACGCGGCCCAGCCTAGTAGTGTTTTTACAGCTAGCGGGCTGTCGATGTCGGCTTGCACTGTTGCTGAGGTCACACCAAGGTATACATGCTTTAGCCCGATGAGCAAAACTGGCTTCGCACGACAGTAGTTTTTTATCGGCAAATCTCTCAAATGCTGAAAATTTTCCTTGGCCATAGACTGCTCTGGCAGGTTCAGGTTCTTAACCGTATATACCTCCTTCAGTAGAAACTTCCTCTTCGCCGCGCAATTCTCAACTTCAATTCTTATTTTATGCGTTTGTTCGGTAACAACGTTGTTGTCATACCACTGCATCGTAAGTGGATGCAGGCAACCCTGGGCTCCGATTAGCTTGGCCACTTCCTCTTCCATTATTGAAATTGACGAACCCTCGTCGAACATCGCTAATATCTCACGCTTACCTTTCGGTCCATATATGTTGACTGGCAATATTTTAAACAGTTGACCATGTGCGCTTTATGTTTCTTGAAAATTTAGTAGTGTCTGCACAATGACATCCTCTCGTGTAGTTCGGCGTAGCATCTGCATTGTTGCATCTTCGTTGTGGAGTAGCTGGTTGTGATAGCGCTGGCAGCCACTTATGTTACACCTCCTTCTTGCACAACACTTTTGTGTGCCCCTTGCGTAGGCACGAAAAGCAAAGCTGTTGCGCCTTAACCAGGTCCCACCGCTCTTGAATACTTCTTGCCTTAAACGCATCACACTGTGGTAGCATGTGCTTACCACTACACTGATAGCAAGTAAGTGAGTCCTTTGGCCGCTCAATATGCATCAGTCGACGAGGATTGCCCGATGATGCTGACTGCCTGCCACTCTGCGTGCTGATCGTCGGCATAAGACAAATTATTTTAGCCAACTCGCTAGGCCACTCAGAAAAATGTTTAACTGATGGATACGGTT